GGAAACTATGTTTAGAGATATTTATGTTGCATCAGAAAAGTCTTGGGGTTGTGCCTAAACAAAGGAAATCAAGAAATCAGTCCCAGAGATTCCTTATTAGCTACAGATTGAGATATGTAGATTTGACTGACAACTTCCAGAGAGAGTTTTTCAAACTCAAACCAGCCTCTGTGCAGAAACATGGCTGACAGAGATGGAGTGAAGATGAGTGAGCCAAACATTCCCCACAAATGGTCTCTATAGAAAAGTTTTGAAAGTTACTACCTCAGCAATCTAGCAATTCACCGAGTCAACAGAAAAATTGAAAGGATAACATGATGAATAATCCTTTGACAAGACTCATATTTTGCTACCTTTGTTTTATTTTCCTTCCTTACATCTCCCCCATCCCAATCTCTCTTCCCAACCCCAACTTGTTTTTACTGAACCATTTGAAATAAATTGCAGACATCATGATTATCACCCATAAATATTTCAACGTGTCTCCCAAGAACAAATATTTGTCTACATAACGTCAGTGGACTTACGGTCGATAAAATTATATCATCCAATATAGGTCTGTATTAAAATTTACTGAATTATCTCCCCAATTTTTTTGTATCCAAGTTCTAAGTAAGGATCATATGTTGCAATTTGTGGTCAGTTATGATGTTTTGCCAAAATAAATTTTTTTTTTAAGTTTGAGAAATACAAGAAAGGAAAAGCCATGTATAATCCTATCATACCATTAAAACTTACATGACTGGGGTACATAGGATTTGCTATTCTGTTTCTTTTCAATTAACATTATGTCAAACCATTGTCATATCATTTGAACCTTGAATAGAATGCAGCCATTTAAATTACTGAAAAACAAGAGGGCTGCTATAATTTAGCCATTCCCCTAATGTTGGACATCTGTCGCTTCCTTTTATTTTATTTATTTGTTTGTTTGTTTGTTTGTTTATTATTTACTATAACCAATGTTATTGTAATGAAACTATATTTGTTTGTTTGTTTGTTTGTTTGTTTGTTCATTATTTACTATAACCAATGTTATTGTAATGAAACCGTTGGTAATAATTCGATAAAAAGAGAAGATCGATGATTGGGAGTAGGGGTAAAGCAGGCTGAAGAGCAGGGATAGAATCTGTTTGCAACTTAGTCTTTGGAGGGAGAAAGGCCGCTGAGACTAGACAGAACTTTGTTTCTGTCCCTACAAAGGTAATGGACATATTCCATTGCTAGCTAGGCCAGCGGCCTCTTTTGTTCACTTGGGCTTTATGGGACATTATCACGATTAATCCTAAAGCTCTAGAACTCACATTGAAAAGGGACTTGGAAATTTCCTCTTTAACTAGATCATGCAAGTTATAGTAATAAAAACTACGGAAAGCTTTTTCTATGAGAAGACTAGGAGGTGGGGGTCATTTTTGCCAATACAACATTTTCATTATTTTCTATTTTTTCTAAAGGTTGCACAAATAAGAGTACCAGGTTAAAAGGTATGGCCATGTCAGTGGTTCTTGATCCACACTGTCAGATTGTTTTCTAAAAGAATAATATTAGTTCATATGACACCCCCTACGTCCATGGACTCACCTCAGTGTATATTTAACAGCACTCGGGGTTTTTGTTTTTAATAGGTAAGAAATCACACTTCATTGCTTTAACCCGCACTTCTGATTACGAAATAAAAGTAAAATAAATCAGCCTTTTTATTCTAGGTTTGCTATTTTCTTATTCATTTTATCATTTGTGGTCCTGCTGTTCTCTAACCAATTTGCTTGAGTTCTTTTTGTTTTGTTCTTTTTTTTATGTAAAAACTTTCCCTAGGCTGCTCTTTTGCCTTAAAAAATATTACAACAACAACTGCTACTACTACTACTACTACTACTACTACTACTACTACTACTACTACAGTTATTATCATTATTATTTTGCAATACAACTTGTTGCTCTTTTCTTTTGTATTCTATTCTAAGCTTAGGAAGTTATTGCCTCATTAGAGTGCTAGAAAAGATTCCATTTGACATACTTTGTTATATAGTAAGAGATAAGTGAAAAATTTTTCCCTTCCCCAGATTACCAAGCCATATTACCATACTATGTTTTAAAAATTTATTCTCTGTTTATTGCTTTATGATACCTTTTTATCATAAATTATTCTACAGTTGTCTATTTCAGAGCTATTCAATCTCTTTTATTGATGTCTATGTTTATTTTTGAAAATGTAACTATGGAGCATATTTTATTTTTACCCTTTAGTTTGAGTTTTTACCAGTGAACTGTAGGTACTTCATGGATCCAAATATTAGAAATCGATCTGAGGCAGAAGAGTTGGGGCAAAATAGAAGAAACTTATCAGCACAATTTTATTTGACTTTTTCTGATCACCTGGTTCTGTGCTATTCTTGTGACATTTACTTAATATATTTCTTTGAATGCTGCTTCAAGTTTTATTTCAGAATTTACAGGGGAAATTTAAAAACAAATGATAAATTTATAAATTAAATTTTATTTGCCTTTTGTGTTAGTTGGGTAATCTCTTATTCTTTATCTATCTGTATCGATTTGTCTATCTATCCATCTATTTGTTTGTTTATTTTTTTGGTGAACAGTCTCTTCTCAGTCAGATTGCAACTCTTTCTGATCACAGAAGATAGTCCTTTCCGTATAATGGCCCTGAATATTGTGTTTTGTGTATTGGCACATATCTGAGCTTAATAGGTGGGTGGTTCCCTTAGCATAGATGTTATGTAAGGATCTGTAACCTTCTTTAAGAGTTAGTCATCCTGTGAAGTCAAAGGAGTCAGTAAGGCATAATGAAATTAAGAGGTTTGTGTGGCAGCCCTGACTCCAACACCAATTAATTACCTATCTGGACATCAGTTTCCTCATCAGTAGAATGAATAGGCTGGCCTAGTGACCTCAAATATCTTTCCCATGTTTACATTCTGTGATTCTCTTTCCATGAGCTATTACCCCTAAGAATCCTTATTTCCATGTTGCCTTCTAAAATAAGCAAAATGGAAAAGAGAAAATGAAAACCAGAGTTTAATTAAAAATTTTCGAAGTGTCATTGGTAGGGTTGTAGTCATGTATCGTGTTGCCTTAGTCCAACAGTTCTTAATTAGGAGTGTGCATTAGAATCACCAGTAAACATTTAAAATATACGCACATGTGTGTGCTCATGTACACTAGAATGGGTAGAATAAAAAAGACAGATAATAAGTGTTGGCAAGGATTTGGAGAAATTGAGACCCCTCACATGTTGCTGGTGGTAACGTAAAATGGTGTCACTGCCTTGGAAAAGGGCGGTGGTTCCTTAAAAGATTTAACTTGACCCAACGATCCTATTCCTAGGTCTTTACTCCAAAGAATTGAAAACAGATGTTCAAACAAAAACCTGTACGTGAATGTTCATAGTAGCTCTAGTCACAGCAGCCAAAAAGTGGAAACAACCCAAATGTCACTGACTGATGAATAGATAAGTAAAATACGATGACTCCATACAATGGAATATTATTTGGTAATAAAAAAAAATGAAGCACTGATACATGCTGTAGCATGGTTGAACTTTGAAATATTATATGAAGTGAAAGAAGCCAGTCACAAAAGACTACGTACTGTATGATTCCAAAAAATAGATTAGTAGTTGCTAGAGGTGGGGGAGGCGGGGCTTGTAGGGGGGAAAGGGGAGTGACTTGTAACGAGTACAGGGTTTCTTTTTGGGAGTAATTAGAATGTTCTAAAGTTGATTGTGATGATGGTTGCACAACTGTGAATATACTAATACCATTGAATTTGTACACTTTCAATTGCTAAATTCTATGGTATGTGAATTACATGTCAACAAAGTGATTTTTAAAAAGTGTGGGTTCTAGAGAATTCTAACCTAGATTTGAATCCTAGTTCCCTCACTTACTATAGGCTGTGTAACCTTGAGGGGAGTTGCTAAACCTCTCTGAGTCTGTTTCCTTATTTGTAAAATGGGGCGATGGTAGCACTACTTAATGGCATCCTTGTAAGGATTAAATGAGATGATGCACACAAACATTAATTCCCTGTCTAGTTCTGGATAGACATGAATATCGACAATGAAGATGATGAGATTGAAGTCTTAAGACCAGGTAGGTCTTAGATAAGCAGAAACGAGAGGAAGTCACTTATGGGGCAAGTAATAAGGGTAAGGTTGAGCTTGGTTTGTTTCTAGGCCCTGAAGAAGATAGCTAATTTAAAACGTTTACAAGTCGGAGGCAGCAGTCTCTCAGTGGTTTTGGCTGGTGATCATGCCCAAGATAACAGTACTGTCATGTGGGGTAGCATGCCGTGAAGGTAGGCCATGTTTGTCATGGTGCCTGATTGAGTGATCATGCCCAAGATAACAGTACTGTCATGTGGGTAGGCCATGAAGGTAGGCCATGAAGGTAGGCCATGTTTGTCATGGTGCCTGATTGGGCCGCAGCAAAATCCTGGGGAGGAAACAGAATCTGAAGAAGGTTTTTGTTTGTTTGTTTGTTTGTTTTAATCTTCCTGTGTCTGTGGCCCGAAGATCCCATGTCTGCTTATCCAGGAGTTCGTTGGAAAAAAAGAGTAAACCTTGGTTTGAGTCGTCTACTCCTGTGTCTCTGAACAGTGGACATAACGTCTGATCTTTGGCCTCTCTGCCTTTAAACCACGTAGGGAGCGAGGGCGGGGTAAAATGTGGCTCTGGATGTCCAGAACTGTCATTTATTCTCCTGCCTCCAGGGATGGTTTGGACTCTTACTATATATCATTTATCTGGATCCCCTGAGAACAAATCTTTATGACCAAATAAATTGGGAAGCGAGTTGCCCAAAGTCTCCAGTCAGATGACAGAATTAAATGTATCATCCATTTTAGAGTCCTTCCTCAGATTCCTCCTATTGGCCTTGGGGGCTAAAATTGTAAGGCTTTTGGAGTGAGCCTAATATTAGAAAATGCATCATCTTGTTTTTCTTTCTGGTAATTACCGTCTTTGCTTCCATTACTTCTAGCTCAGCATCATCTCCCTTGCCAAACTTTACCAAAAAACCCAGCCACTGGTGTGAGTGGCCCCTCAGGATCCACCAGCACCACCTTCATAGACCCCAGAGCACAGCTGCAGGCCTATATAGACAGCCACCCTGTGGTCATCTTCAGTAAGTCTACATGCAAATACTGCACTGAGGTAAGGCCTGAACCTCAGTGGGTGGTGAAGTTGTGGAATTATAGAAATTTGAATGACTTTTGAGGTCAGATGTAAACAACCGGATTTCCCCTTAGTAAGGGGTATGTATTATGGTGTAACTTGGGGAGTATTGACTTGAGAACAAAATATTGCTTTTGCAAAGTACCAGATGTTTTCAGGCAGCCAAGATCAGAGTCCGGGAAAGTTAGTGGGGGCAATTTGCCAAACCAGGTGATTTGCTGCACTTTTAGGCTCGTCTATAGGGAATATTTACTAAGGGGCCCTTATTTAGGGTACTCCTAAAGTTTGATAAGTATCTCTTTATGCTCTGGTTTATTATGGGGAAAATGGCTTCGCAAAAAATAAACCGCGCTTCCTAACTTGGTTCTTGGTCTTGGATAGGCAGAGAGAAAAGCTCAGTGATCATAGCCACTGGGAAGATGTGGTTTAATCCGCCCTGATTTAACCAGAGAATGGAAGTGAGAAAAGAAAGACAAACCTGTTCCAGTGCTTTGGGGGAGGGTTGAGGGCGTTGAAATGTCACCAGATTTTAGCTTTAAATCATAGCTCTAGGATGACACAGGGGACTCTTAAGTAAACGTAAGTGGCCATCTGTCCAGGTTCACATGTAGAATAATTTATTAAGCTGGATTTTCTCTCAATTTGTCTATCTTTTGATTTACTTTCCAGCTCTCAGGGAGGGTTAATTCAGAAGCCTTTTTACTCTGGAAGCCTTATGAAGAGACAGGCTTTTTTGAGTGAGAGAGTGTGTGAGTGTGTGAGTGTGTGTGTGTGTGCGTGTGTGTGTGTGTGCGCGTGTGTGTGCATGTGCGTGTGCGTGTGTGCGTGTATGTGTGTGCGCGGGGCGTGTGTGCGTGTGCGTGTGTGTATGTGCGCGCGTGTGCGAGTGTGTGAGTGTGTGTGCGTGTGTGTGCGTGTGTGTGCATGCGCGTGTGTGCGCGTGTGTGTGCGTGTGCGTGTGTGTGTGTGTGTATTCTGTTTTTCCAAGTAAGAAAAAGGAAAGGCGGGCAAGCAGTGGAAACACTTAAGTAGGCAGAACTTTTCACCTTTGTTTCTCACTGAACACAGTCTGCGTCTTTGCCACCTGGGGCTTCTTCCCTACTAATGCCACCGGGGTGCCTTTTCTATAGGACATTCCATTGGGTATAGAGTTGCAAAGAGATAAGAGACACAAGTGCCATCCGTAGGGATTTAGTCAAACTGAGAAGGCTTAAAAAGAAAAAGGATCTAAGAGAACCCCTGCTAACCCCTGCTAAATTCTAAAAGGTTAGTGTAGGCAGTAAATGTTAGAGAATTTAGAAGAGGGCTGAGAATTAGAAATCTGCTGTGTAATTCCTGGCTTTAGGGGGTAATTATATAGCTCTGGTGATCTTGTTCACTTTTGAGGACATGTTTGTTTGTTTCAGCTCTAAAATGAATGGCTTGGACTAGTTGATTATTGAGATTCCTTTTAGCTTTGAAAATACATGTTTGACTTATCTGTTACCAAAAATGGTTAAGAGCCAAGACTCTGAAGTCAGAGTTTGGATCTTGGCCCCTGGACTTATTAGCCATGTGATCTTGAGTAAGTTATTTACCTGCTGTGCCTCAATTTCCTCACCTATAAAAGGTGCATAATAATTGTACCTATCTCATAAATTTGTGGTGAGGATGAAATTCATTAATATTTATAAAAGCCATAGAATGTGCCTGGCACATGGTAAATGCTATATAAGTGTTTGTCAAATGGGAGAACTAAAAAAGAAAAGAAAAAAAAATAGAAGTACTTGATCTTCCAGTTTTCTTATCAGGACTTAAAACCTTAGATGGCAATCTCGCTTCCATCAATAAAGAGGCTCAACAAATATCTGACTCTGTTCCAAGTACAATTAATCATGTTCAAGAGTGATTCCTTTTCATAGTCTAGCCTCTTTTTTTCAAAGCTCCACGCCCATGGTGGTTTGGTAGAAGGAACACATGGAGTTAAAGGATCTCAGTTCTCATTCTGTAACTCTCAGTTTCCTCAACAACAAAGTAAGGTTGACAGTGCCACCTCATCTACTATACTTATTAAATACACAGCTTTATTATGAGGCCTAAATGATTTCAGATCTATGCGGAAGCATTCGGAAGCTGATAGTAAACCCTTATATTAACAATAGCTACCATTCGAGTGCCTACTATGTGCCAGGCACGATATGGTCACTTTAACTTATATTTTAAAACACTTTAAAGAATTGGACAACTCCAATTTTGACCCTGCTCTAGTTCTGCAATGAAGGGTTGGGCCAGTGTGGTCAGGATTGCTGCTAATGACAGGCAGTTAGGTTTCCTATTCCCTGCAATCTCAGATCTCACAGATCTAGTCGACCTGTAATTACTCTCACCCCTACTATTTTAACCCTGAATTCTACTCACTTCATTTCCCAGCTCTCTCCTCCTTATCTCTGAAAAAGCAAAGCCTGGCCTTTTTTTTTTTTTTTTATTAAATGTACTCTAGAATGATCGACTTTTCCTATAAAACTTGTGTCAGGTATTTGCATAATTATTTTATTAAAATGTATAGTTATTCCTGCAACCTTATTTAATGTCTTTATCTGAATACCTCCTGGATATGCCAAGTCTTCTAGACAAACATCCTCTGGTTTTGCCTTGATAAATACCAGTTCCTTAGCTTTTCCAAATATATAACATAAAAGCTATTTTTGGTCATGAAGGATGGTTAGGTGCTTCTCCTAGTAAAAATGATTTTCTTCTGTGGAGGTGTAACTTATATACTTAGCTATTTACATTCATTTTTTTTTTTAAATTACCGTTAAGTGAATTTACCCAGGTTATTTCCTTTTGATTTTATCATCTTATTTAACAGTTGCGATGGGAGTAAATGAGAATGGAGAAACTCCATTTGTACTTGGTGTGATTAATTTATATTTCTCTCTGGGATGAGTGATGTAATTTGCATTAATGCAAGTTGGGAAATACCCACAAAAAATTAACTTCTACATTAGTTAGTTTCTGCTTGTTGCGTAACTCACTACCACGTGTACTTCGAATGTATCTTACTATGAAAAGTGGATTTAAAGTGCAAAGATAAACTCTCTCAACCTTCTCGTAAAATGTGGTATTTGTTCCTTATAGATCTCTCAGTGGGCAGTTTGGAATTAGCCATCGATGTCTCAATTATGGCTTATTTATTCGTTGATATCCAGATCCACTGCTGTTTCTCAATAATGTGTCTATTTCACAGGCGAAGTTTACCATCTCTACTTTTCTCAATAAGGATACTCTAGAAACTGGCACTTCTGCTATTCAAATACAGATCTTTAATGTTGTCCTGTGGAACAATGCTAACGTTTAATCAGAGTAAAAATTACCTACAAAATAGGTTCTCGAAGTGGAGTCATGTGTACTCTGGAATCTAGAGAGTTGGTTTTCTACATTCACATATTATCAAATTTTGATACTTACTTTTAGGGGCTGCTTTTGAGATTTACTCTCTAAATCTGGAAAACTTGTTTTTTTTTTTGTTTGTTTGTTTGTTTTGTTTAAATGGTTTATTTATAAAATGAAGAGGCCAAGGAATGAGCCCATGATTTGATATGTGTATGAACTTTTTATTTTTAGTCTTAGAAAATGAGCGTTGGAATGTGGATTGACTTTTACATAGGGGGTCTCCCAGCTGTAGCTTTCCTGCCCTGTCTTCTTTACTTATCCCATCATGCTTCAAGAGGATTCTTATCTTTTTAAATGTATGTTGCCAGGGGGAGCGGAATTCACACTTGGGCATGGCTACTGTCCAAAGGAGTGTGAGAGGAAGGAACTTGTGTGAATGAACTCATCCTCTTGTAGAAATGTTGTATTTGGTCCTGCACCCATGATAGGAATCTCCCCGTGTACTTCTGTACAGTGGGAAGCCTACTGTTTTGGTTGTGAAATCAGAATGATTCAGGAATACATTCCTTTGATTAGTGGTTGCTGTGAACTTCAGGCTACTCTGGCCTTTTCATTTTATTGTATAAGCCAAAGGAAGGTGGTTTTAAATTTCCCTGAAGTATTAATGACAGGCTGTTTGTGAATGGTATGTAAGTGTTACTTTAAAGTCTTTTATCAGTAACTTAAATGTTATTTTTTTAATGGTATAAATTTGACAAAAGTAACTCTTCACCTTCAAGTAAATTTTTTTTATCAGTATAATTTGTATAATCTTGAGCATATGAATTTTGTAATCGATTTGTTGGTTGAAGGTTACTGGGCCAAAAAATAAATAATACTTTGACTATTGTAGGATATGGTTTTTCCTCAGAGTTGCCATGTAATGTTTTAGAAACATTAAGTATTCCAGTGGCTTTTTAACCATGGTTAGCATTAAACCCATTTTATGGTGGAGTCGACTGAGTCACTCAAACATGTAAAATATATTTTATGAAGCCATCCCTACAGGCGAATCACTGAAAATAGAATAGAATCAAGAGACTTCAAATACCCTTTTAATAGCATTACTGTGAACAGGGAGAATCTCGTGGGTTACGTAAAAATGGAAAGTTTCCAAAGGAGAAGGCAGATCGAGGAGGAAAGTAACAAAGCTGGATAAGAGACTCTTCTCTTGGTTAATACCATTGTTTTCTGACATTCTCCTCTTGTTTTTCAACTTCTTCCAGGTAAAGAAGTTATTTAAGTCAATGTGTGTTCCTTATTTTCTGCTCGAACTTGATCAGGCAGGTAAGATTCTGTTTAATATGTAAATTATATCTGTTGACTATACACTTTATGTAATCTGTTCTTCTGGCTTTTTTTTTTTTTTCTTCCTTGAGGTTTTTATTGTTTAGTGAGTTCTCATCAGTTGAGTCCTTGTTTGACCATTTAGATAGGGCATTCCCCTAGGATGAATTTTATTTCCTTTTAGTCTTTACCTAGTTACTAGCCTTGGTATTATTACTCTGAGTTTCCTGTTGTTGAAATCATTCTCCTTATTAACTTTGAGTCTAGTTGCTGGTACAGTAGTTGCTGGTTTTATGGTAACTTTATTATTTTTTGCAAATTTGTCTTACTTTCTGGCAAGCCATACCAAATAGTACTTGAATTAAATATAAATTGAAATGCATTCAGAAATTGTGGCAAGAACATATAAAGACCAGTAGGAATAAAGAGCCACAAAAGGGGCCATTGGGAAATAGTTCCATGTGGCTAGAAATCCCAGAGAAAGATTGGTGGGGTGAAACAGAAAGCTTCTTCCTAGGACCAAGGCGAGCATGTGTTTTGTTCATGGGTAGGAAAGCCCAAAGACTCATCAGACTCATCGGTCAAACATTATTAGGAATCTGATCAAGTGCCCAGCATCATCGTTTCCAGACCAGGAAGCGTAGGTCACCTTCATGCCTAGTAGCTTGGGGAAGCAGAGTCCTGGCCATTTATAGTCTCAGCCTGGTCTCCAAAAGAATAAAACAACAGGGAAGAGACTCAGAGAGAGACATGGTAATTGGGACAGAAAGCTCATTTGTAGGGTCAGGAGGCATTTGGTAATTGAGGGACAGGAAACTTATTATTTCATGCTTCTAAAGACAGATTCCCTAATACAGGGAGAATCAGGTAGTAGTGGCCACTTATCAAATGCCTACTGTTTCATAGGGACGATGCTGAGTTTATATAAAGTCATTAATCCGTATAAGAACCTACAAGGAAGATATTATCCACATTTTACAGATGAGGAAATTGAGCCCCAGAAAAGTCAAATAACTTCCCTAAAGTTTTATTAAGTAGTCGCTCTATAATTTAGACACAGGCCTGTCTAATCCCAAAGTCTATGTTTTTTCCATAATACCATGTTGTCTGTCTCCCCTAGCATGACCTTTCTATTCCTCCATCAAGGAAGGCTTTTGCCCCTAAACTCTCCATAGTCTATGGAAGGAAATCCCAATAATTAAAATGTCATAAGGACCAAAAGGTAGCCTTTTACAAATATAACTTTTCCTGGGAGAGTTAAGTTACCTGTAGCTTGATACGAATTAGAAACACACACACACACACACACACACACACACACACAATAAACCAATTAAATGAATAATATAAAATGAATGAACATGTCTGTTAAGGATGGGAAAATAAGGGAGGTAACACTGGGAGACAGTGGGCAAGATGGAGCTCCAGAGGCATGAGTCAGTAGCCACGGAGTTTGACAAGGGTGCCAGAGGTGGATGGGAGGTCAGCGAAGGCAAGCATCACCTACTTCGAAATTTTAATTCTGGCAACACTAATCAGACAGGACGCTCCTTCCCTTTACTGTGGAAGTGGCTATACATCTTATAAATCATGCTGGGAGCTCCCACTCACTCCTTGCTAAAGTCCTGCCTAAGAAAACCTAAAGTATGGGAGTTGGGATAGGATTGACTGGAACCAGCTCCCGTGGTTGAAGGATGGGAGCCTCTTGCTAGATGAGGGAGCCGATGCTCCTCTGTGTCTTCACTTGTTGCTTCTTCACACGTAAGAAGCTGTCTTCCTTCTCAGGCCCACTTACAGTCTGGAACTGGGGCAGCTTGCAGGGACAGATCAGGATTTATAGAGTAAGGCAGCAATTCTCGAAGCGTGGTCTGCAGACCCCTGGGGGTGCCTGTGACCTTTGGAGGGGTCCTCAAGGTCAAAACTATTTTCATGATCATGTTAAGATGTTATTTACCATTTTACTGTTCTGACATTTTCATTGATGGTGCAAAAGCAATGGTGGGTAAAACCGCTCGTGTCTTCGCATGAATCAAGGCAGGGCATCACACTATACTAGTTCATATGTAGTCTTCACTACCACACAATCACAGCATAAGGAAATGCCAGTTTTACTTAGGACTATTGTCGATGAAGTAGTAAAAATGATTAACTTTGTTCAATCTCATCCCTTTGAGTATACATATATTTAATATTCTATGTAATGAGGGAAGTATGCATGAAGTGTTTTTGCCGCATGAAGTATGATGGTTGTCTCAAGGAAAAGCACTTGTGCAATTAATACTTTGAGTTGCAAACTGCACTAGCTGCTTTTTTTTTAATGGAACACCATATATACTTGAACGAACGATTGATAGTCAAACTCTAGTTATTCAGACTGGAGTATTTGGCAGACATTTCCTCTACAATGTACAAAGTGAGCCTGTCACTTCAAAGTAATATTTATGAATGTAATTTTTTTGGTATTGTATACTGAAATGTGTCAACATTTGGAAAATCTGTATAACTTCGTGAATGAATATTTTTTGAATGATCAATGTATGATCCTACAAAGTCATTCATAGGTAAAAGATCCATTCGAAGTGTAAGATAGACCAATGGATTTTAATAGAGTATGAAAATCCATTGATAGAGTATGAAAAGCTCATCCACATGGTTTCAGAGTCCATGTTGCAGTTAACCTTTAATCAACTACTGCTTGTTGAATTTTGGTGTCGTATCAGAGAAGGATATCCACAGTTATCTGAAAAAACCTATTAAATATTTTTTCTTTTTTTTTTACAATTTGTCTTTGTGAGACAGGGTTTCCTACATATTTCTACCAAAACGACATATATCAAAATAAATTGAATGAAGAAACAAATATGAGAAGCTAGCTGTCTCTTATTAAACCAGACATGAAAAACTTAAAAAAATGTAAAATAATGCCAACCTTCTCACTATATATTTCTTTTGGAAAATATAGTTATTTTAATTAAAGTATGTTATATTGATATGTAATGGGTTTATTATTAATTTAAGAGAATAAATATTTTTTAAATGTGTCTGTTTTAATTTTGATATAAATAATGATAGCTATACTCCATATAAACAAAGTTCTTTGGGGTCCTCAATAGTTATCTACAAATGTGAAGGATACTGACACCAGCAGTTTGACATCCCATGTTCCAAGGCAAGTAGGAAGCGTGCGTGTTAATCTAAGAACTGTAGATTCTGTGAGATTTACGTGTCCCCAGCATAGGAGGAACACTATCCAATGCGTGCTGGGCCTCACAACCAGCCGTACGAGAGACATGTGGTCTGCTTATGGAGAGCATGGCTTCATCTCCTCAAGAAGTCTGTAATTTCGGGGCTGGAATTGCTGGTTTCATGAATGAGCAGCTCGTCTGTTTCTGCTTGGTTCTAGGAAGTACCTTCTATAGGCATGATTTTAACACCAGCCTTGGCTACCTAATCTCCTCAGTGCCTAGATCATAGTAGATTCTCAGAGAGCCAGAGGGTCGGCTGGTGAGGGTATTTGGCATAGAATCAGGTGGGTGCATTTTTTCATCCAGCATGTTTACTGAGTGCTCGCTGTGTGCTAGGTTCTGTACTAAGTGCTAGAAATATAGCAGGGAACTAGCAGGTGTGCTTCCTGCTCTT